AAATGATTTGCATCAGAATTCGGGACTTAAATACGGATTTGATGCACGAGAAAATAGTGCATATTGGACGTGAAGAAGGGAGCAAGTTGCACGTGTGGAAAAAAACGCGGCTGATTTAAATGTCACACCTGAATGCTCACATCCTTTTAATTATGTTTGAAATTATGAACATTGCTCAACATCATGAAAATTAAACCTGGGTTTCCACATGGGCTAATCTTATGCTTTACCTGCTTGTGCACTGCAAAATGTGTGTAGAAAACAAAATACAACAGGCAAAATCGATGTGTTTATTTACCAGAAAACTGTTTTAATGAAACTGATAAAAAAAAGTGTTCCATCTTTATTTCAAATGTAAGCTTGCTTAAGATTCCTTTTAATACATAACTTGTGTACTGTGTTATTTTATAACACTGTGCATAGTACCAGTATAGGCATTAGTTTGAGAGGATATATTTATGGTTGATTAGTATTGGATGATTCCAAACATGTTTTATTCTACTTGGGTAAAACAATTTTTCCAGAAATCTTAATTTTTGGTAGTTTTGTGAAATATAAAGATTTGTTTTACAACTTTTTAATTGAAACACAGTAATTTCTATCATTGTCGATTTCTACTTTTGGTAGGGTGCATTCATTGCATTATAAACTCACCCAAAAGATTAGCAAACAGTTTCACAGTGGAAAAACAATATAAACATTTTGTCATACCAGTTTCAAAAAGTATATTTTGTGCATAAACTATTTTATTGAGCTTTCAAGCTCAAATGCTGTACTATACCCATGTATTTATGTTGTTGCTAACTTTTTATTTTGAACTGTTGAGTAATTTGTGCAATCCAGTCTTACCTCTTCTTGCACAAAGCTCCCTTGATCTTCTTTCTGCACCTTAAGCATTGCTAAAAAATGTTAATGCTTAGTGCACTAGTTTATATATCCCAAATATTTTGCACCACTTTTGAACATGTATATGTGAACACACTACACCAATAGTATCGTGCTACCTATTTTGGCACAGCTAGCTCCCTCTAATGTTCCTGCTCAATCCTTATTTTCGTAATTGGCACAGCATCATTTAGACATGTTTTTTCGCATGTGACTTTTATTTATGATTGTACTTCATTGACATTTCAATACCTTTTTTCAACAGTTTTACTGTGTTTGTGTTCAATTGTTTCAGTTGTTTTTGTCTTGCATTTGTTTATTGTTATCAAGTTATATGGTAACTTAGAATGACTTCAAGATTCAATGTATCGACAATGGAAATTCCCATTACAGTAGACAATGCTTCTGATACGACTACCCTGGCATTGGGTTCAACTTTATCTTCTGTGGAGGTACAGAACTTAATTTGTAGGGAGTTAGATTCGTATGTTCAGCTGGTGATTTCTTCTCATTTTTAACCTGAAAGTGTATCTGAGGATGAATACAATCAAAGAGAAGAAAATTGGATTTACTTTTTCTGGCACCTTCTAATTTTATTTTGTCACACTCTACACCTTTTTTTTTTTTTTACAGTTGGTTAATCAGTTTTGTGATATATTACATGTTTCCTTTTCCTCCTAACTTGCAGATGTCATCGATCAGATATTTATGCTAATAACCCTTTTGCAATGTGCTTGGTATATAATACTGAGTTCAAATACACATTTGCACTTGTTAACTTTTAATACAGTATGTGTATCTTCACAAAATTTGATAGACTTTTAGGAAATAGTACAAGTCTTTTGTACACAAAAAATCAGATTTTTTAATGAATTATTTTTTACTAAAGGTTTGTTTGTGAATATATTGAGTCTGTTTTGTTACTAGTCCCAGTGCAAAGTGATTTTCATTTTATGATTATAAATACTATTCTTTGTCCTGAAAATCTCTCATTTCATTTGCAAAATCTCTAAAACCTCCTAAATATATTTCAAATGTTTGTTTTCAGTAAAACAATATACATTATCTGTTATTTTCTCTACTCTAACTGTATAAAAGTTTGGTCAATTTGACCGACCTCGTAACCAAAAAAAAATTGAAATAAATCTAAGTTACCTTTTTTTTTCTTTCTAGAATGACTTCAAATTGTAACATGAAACTACATTTGTTTATCCTAAGTAGCTTTAAACTTCTAACATTATTCAACTATTTATACTTACCTTTTGTCGTATTGCCCTTTTAACTGTGTAACTATTATTCATGTTATTATAAGTTGTAAATCACTTGGGAAACATGGGGCTTGCATTATGCTATCGAATTACATTACTCACGAGCTACTCCAAGCTGCTTGCATGCCTACCTCATAAATTTTTTTATTATATTATTATTATTTATTTTACCTAATCTAAAGAGATTACTATTTTTATATTTTAGTTACTTTTATAATAATAAATAAAGAATATATGTGAAAAACAAGAAATATAGTACTTACTGGACCTTCTTTTTTTTGCTGGCAACTATTGGTGACACTTAACCCTACTTTTTTTTTATACTAATGGTAGCAGTGCACTAAATAATTTTTATTGAATTAAATAATGCACCAAAAAATATAGAATAATAACATGCAAAAAGTAGACAATGTCACATGACTATCATAATTTATCTGACTCTGCGACAAGAGCCATTACAAATTAATCCATGCTAGTCAATATCTTTTCCATGGGAACGAAGCTAGTACTAAAAGAGAAATTGATAATTCTCTGTTCAAAAAACAACATAATATAATATGTTGTATTATGGATGAAAACCATGGCTTTCTATTTGTTATAAGTAATATAATATCAAACATTAGAGAGAACTATTAACAAATCCTGGAAGAAAGGATGTGACAGGTGGATGTGGCAAGTGGGGTCTGATTTTCTTTTTGATGGCTCTGTAACTAAACAAGATTGAAGGCTATAAAAAAAATATGCTTTGCCTGAGCACTGAAAACTTGATAGTGAGTAATCTACGTTAGATTTCGTACTTATTGGAGGGCTGGTGAATAAATTTTAGAAGATGGGATGCCTAGAGAAAAAATGTCACATTTCTCATACTAGGGGAAATTCAGGATTTTTTTTAATCACTTTATAAAATCAAGAACTTAAAACTTGTATACTATCAAAATATGTATTATTAGCTATGATTTTATGCTATGCTAATTGGTATAACATAAACAAAAAGTAGTTTAATTAAATTTTTAATGTAAGTCATTAAAACCTTGTGAAATGCGTTGTAGATTATGTCTGTGCAAAAAAGGATTAATGTTACCAGAATCTTCTTCTATTCCTTTTGTGATGGCCTATATCCAGATTGGTCCTTCTTCCTTAAGACCTCTGTTGCCCAAGAAGGCCATTTGGCTTTTATACCCATTTCTTTACCTTCCCTCTCCCACCTGAACTCCCTTATTGATCCTTGTCAGGTTTGTCATACAGTGTTATGTGGCACATACTGCCTCCTTTCAGGGTTCACATTCCCAACCTTTTATTCCTTATAATCCTTCTATATCCTTTGATTTATTCTCTGTCACGCTAACTGGCTGGGTTTCGTCAACTCCTTACATTGGTATATTCAGATTTATCTATGGAAGGTCGCTGTCTTCTCAACATTTCTTCTCCACAAATTTGTAATCTCACCATATCTTGAGCTGCTCATCTTCACTGTTTGTTAGAAAAAATCGTTCAGACCAGATTGAGATCTACTCCCTATTTCTTCATGGCTCATTTTCTGCACTATCTGGCTATAGCTTTATCAAGTGGATATTGTCTCCCTCCCTCCCTTCCTCCCATGGCAATTCTACACACGTCCATTCACCTTTGACTTTGTGATGTCTTTTCACAACATTTTATTTGTTTTCTTTTCAGGGACTCTTTTTACTGCTATTCATAAGATCCCACCCTGTGGCAAATGTTGCCTGCTCAGATGTACTTTTACTCACTATGTACTGGTACAGCTACAATGCTCACTGTAGAGATGGAGTGTCCT